GTTTACTACAGAGTGGATTCTGTCCCACTCAGAAGTTTCTTTTAAGATGGACTATAATTCTAGGGAAACAGAAAATTGTAAATGAGTTGGTAGGACTAGCTGCTAAAGAGAGTATGATGGTTAGTTCAAGTTCTAACTTCAAGGTTGAGTCTAATGAACCTGCAGATATGGAGAAGACATGTGCCAGGCAGTTATACACGGGTGACAAACATACTGGAGTTGGAAATAATAGAAAACCCTTTGAGAATAGCAATGCTGGTGATAACAAAATCAATTTCGGCAGTGGTCTTCCCAATTTCATGATGAGAAAACCTTTTTCAGAGGTTGTTGCTGGATCAGCAATCGTGGATTCAGCATTCCCACCTCTTCAGCAGCGGAAGCAACCCTCAACTTCTCTGGAAAAAGGTCTCAAGCAGAATAGGACGAGAGATCAGATTATGGAACAGGTTCATGAAACTCTACATCGAGGATCCCAAAATCCACAGGGCATTTCATCTGGTCTGGAAACATTTAATGAGACAATTAACACTAATAGCTCTGCAGACAATGACCCTTTTTTACAGATAGGTTGTAATGTAGTTCCTGTTAACATGAATGGTGGTGAAAAAGTTAGATCAAACCCTGTTTTGGAGCATGTGTCAGCTTATGTTGGTTTTGAGCATGAGTGCCCTTATGGCCACCGCTTCTTGCTAAACCCAGAGCATCTTAATCAACTTGGACCCTCGTACTTGATGCTTGAAGAATCTCATATTCCTACTTCTGCAGAAGATTCTTTTTGTACTGTTGATTCCTCAAAAGTGGATAAGAATGCTGGTCATGGTAGAATCCACCGAAAGTCAAACAAAATGATTTCTGCCATGAATAAGGTGAAAAATATAGATAAGACAAAACACGTTGTGGTTCCAAAAGGTAATTTATGTGTAGATGGGCCCATACAGCTCCCATGCCGTGGAGAGGAACAGAATCATACATCTTTTAGTGTTGCAGCTCTTCCCCACAATGTAAAAGATCTTGAAACAAAACTTCAATTTATTAACCTTGATGATAATGGTCATGCTTTCTCCATGTTAAATAGAAATTTACCAATATATATGAATTGCCCACATTGCAAGTGTGCCAAGAAGGATCCTCGAATGCTTAAATTTGCCGGCACAATCTCACAGCTTCAAAGAATTTTTCTGGTACTATGCTACACAAATGGTTCTTTTCCTTATATTGTCTTTAATAGTATATTTACTGTTTGTAGTTTGCTGTACACTGTTGTAATGTGTCTTTGATGTCAACATGTATTTTGTTCATATGAGTTCCTTGCTATTCTTTCTTACGTTATGAGATACTATAGACACACACCAGAAGACAGGTTCTTGCTCTTCTCTGAGGCCTGTTAATTCTTCTGGTAGTAAGTGGTGCTAGCTTCATTCTTTACTTGAATCAATATTACATAAGCTCCAAGCATTCAAGCAAATGTTTCCTCTTGTCGGTTATTTCTACTTAGTGGTCCATAAATCTTGTCAAATTGTTAAGTGCTTATGTCTAGAAATGTAGATTGCAAAAATGGAGTGCTTTTCAATTTCGGTTCAGTGACAGAATGAAGTGAAAAACCTTACCAAGTAATTACTTCCTCAATGCTTTGTGGCTAAAAGTTGGTGTATCTGCCTTTACTGTTGATTCTTGTTGAATTGCTAATTTTCTGAGATTTTCTTGTCCCAGACTTTTAGTTTTTGCTCATATCTTGCATGATGGAAGCATATTAGAATATCAGATAGTGTGACACATCTTGTCCTATGATTCCAGTTCGTATCTTTTCTCTTTTCCTATTGTCTGTTGTACTGTTGATGAGATGTGAAAGTATTGCCTTTAGAAGTTGCTCATTCTATGATAAATGCACTGGTTTAACAACTGTCTGTTCATTGTGTTTATCTGTGCTGACATATCGTAGTTAAACGTGATGCATTAAAGTTGTTTCTTTTTTGAAAGAAAAATTAACTAACTCTAGTTTAAAATAATTGGCATTGTTTGCATGGTGAAGAAGGATATTGCATTCTTAGTGAACTCTAGTTTAAAGGAATATACAATGTTTGCAGAGTGAAGAAGGATACTGCAGTATTTGATATTTTCTGATTTTAGAGCAGCTATATCTAGCATCTAATTCTGTCATCAGGGTGTGACTCACGAGAGAAGTGATACCTAGTGATTGTTGTCTTTTTTCATCATGTTGAAAACTATTGTTTGACTATGCAAAAGCCTAATATAATAGAATTTGCTTTCAGGTCACACCTCCATTTCCTGTAGTGTTGGGAACATGCCCTGTTATACAATTTGAGGTATTTTTCATACCTTGTCTAGAGAGTGCACTTCCTCTCTTTTTTCAAGAACTTACCATATATCTGACTTTATTATGTTTTGCCAGTGTACTTTAGCTCATTTTGTTTGTCTAAGTGCCCATTTAATAGGGATCTCTAGCCCCAAAAAAAGTTGCTATTATGTTTTATATATTGTTTGATTGAAGCAATTTTTGATTGTATCAATTGCCAATGTGGATAAATTAGTCAAGTCATCTGTGTTTATAATGCCATGTTGTATCTAAATTGCTTCTTTGGTTCTGTATCTGCATTTGGCAAATGACTCAAGAAGTCTTGGATTAGTGTTAAACTACTTGTGCTGGTACTTTATTTTCATAAATGGGACCAGGTTGGCAGTTTCGACTTAGTATATTTGTTCTTTTTAGAATTTCTCACTAATAGTAATCATCTCAATTTGACAACCAAAGGATGAACAAAAGTTTAGTTGACAAGCTGACTAATATTACTAATAGATTGATTTGGAAGGAGAGGAATTTTAATTTGTAATGAAGCTAATTAAAATATATATATATGTATATCCTTTCAACGAAAAATTTTGCAGAAGGAATTGATTTACAAATTAACCAAGCATTTTTCTTTTTAATATTTGCCAAATGTTTTTTGATGATCCTAATATTTTAGCATGATAACTTGTTTTGTTAGAACTAATATTTATTTCTTGAGTTTGGGTTACAAATTTGTTTTTCTTCTCTTTTGTAGTTTGTTATGCTTGATCCTAATTGTGCTTGCTCTATCTGTCAAATCTAGATTTTGTTCAAGAACTCATTAATTGGATGAGAATAAAGATAGTCGCATTTTAAATGTAAATGTCAACAACAGTGCAATTTGTAGTAAGATGAAAATCTGTTGACTAGTAAAAGATTTATATTGCTTGTTGCATGAACAGCCCAAAATGCAGTTTAAAATATTGCATAACTTATGGATGGCAGTATGTTTGTTAGGTTTTATTGTCATTCTTGAAGCATAAGTTTTCTCATGTTCTAAACCTTTTTTACTTTTAGAGGTCGTGCCTCCCTTTACCCACTCCAGATTGGGAGGAGAAATTGCAGTTCAGCCTTGGATATCGAGTGATCTTACCTCCAGAGAGTTTCCTTACACTTAGACTACCGTTTGTGTATGGTGTACAACAGGAGGACAGAAGTCTGCTTCCCCTTAGGCCCTTTGAACAATGTCCAGAAAAAACTGCCTGGCTTCTTACAGGCACAACATTGCAGGTCATATCCAAGGGAGGCAGTCCTGGTGAAGCATATCAGATGTAATCAAAAGGTTTGAGCCTTAAGTTGGCCACTTCAGTAATAAACATCTCTCAAGGGTTTTCAGCGGCAGAGTTATGTGACTATATTCGTTTAGCCCAGCTGATGTTTAATGAGTTATGGTAATCTTTTCTTTTCATTCTTATGGTATATGTTTTTCAAGTTTTCAACTGACTCATATGGTAAAATTTTATGCTTTTATTATTTGGACTAATTTCTTGTCTAGTTTCTCTGGCAGTGAGGTTTTATATGTGCTTATTTGCTTCTAGTATTTTCATTAATCTTGAAAAAGCAAATAGGAAACAAGTACACAAAGCTATGAGTTAAAATTTGTGATTTGTTAAAATAAACGTTGTCATTGGTGGAGGTTACGATATGTGGAACTGAATGGTTCGAGAAGGTAGGGGTTATAAATTGTTTGAGTTAATGGGGCTCAAACATAATGTCCTCTTTTTTATAAGAGAAAATTACATGGGGATACTTAAATACCCGGATATAATTACAACTGATGTCAATTATTTTTTTTTGAAATAAAGTGTGAAAGGAATATTGATATAGGCACCAGGGAGGTGCTCTCCATGTACAATATGTTTCATGTATGCACTTCACTCTTAATGTTTTTTCCTCTTACTGTTACTTTCTTTTTTAACATATAAACTAGAACTTTAGTCTTTTCTCTTTTGTTGTAAAATCTCTTGTTATGTTGTTGTTTCTTATTATTTCAGTTGAATGACTAACATGTGATGCATGTTTTACAATCAGTTGATGTCTATTAATAATTAGACTTAAATTAGCATATATATATATATGTTATTGATGGATTGAGTTATCTTAAAAAATAATGGATCCAGTTGCAGTAATACCCAAAACTCAAGTGAATAGTCATCATTTCTTTCATTATGAGTAGTTTTAATTTAGAATGCGTGTATATACACAATGGCTATTGGACTAGAAAACCTGTCTGTAGATGTATTTGCAGGGAAAAGATTGTCCTGCTCAGTAATAATATTGTCAAGTTCATTCATGAAACTTATACATTCTGTTATTTTATACAGCACAATGGTTTTCATGAATTGATTGGTTAACTGCATTTAGCGATTGGTGCTCTGCAACTGGAAGGCAACAAATGAATTTCAGTGTCTGGCCCCCACGAGGTACGTTGCTTTTATTACCTTACCTGTAAGGAGAATTTTTATTCTCTGATGCTGGTTGGGTAACCACTGTATTTACTTGGACTATAGGTGGCTGGTGGTCTTTGGGAAGCTTTCTTATGCTGGTATACTATTTAATTATTTTTATATTCACAATTTTGCGTCATTAAACTATCTTATTACAGTGTCTTATGCACAGACAGATACACATATATGCATATGTAAGTAGGTAAATGTTGGCATTTATACACTATATGTTGCAGTTTTCACTGTAAGGCATTGTCTAAATATGTTGTTTGACACCAGTTTTGAGGCTGGGTTCAATGTGCTTAAAGTGTGCTGTCAAAGTTGTCCCGCACTAATGTAATGGAGATGGCAGTGCAACTTATGAAATCTGATGCACAGAGCTTAATTATTGCTTCTTTTGGGCTTTGGCATCACAACCTAGTCATTGAGCAATTATGTTCATTCTGGAAAGCTACATGCCTCCTGGATTTGGTACAAATTACATGCGTTGGGGATGAAACGCCCCTTGTGGGTTCAAACTTGGAGACCCTTGGAAATTAGTAGAGTGTCACCTAAAGTTTCCAAATGAACAGTATGATCATGCATAGATCCAGCCAACGGAACTACCGTTCCATGAGGATTAAGAATTCTGGTAAGAGTTCTTCTTAGACGGCTTGTTGAGAAGCAGAGAATGTGGGATGGAGTTGGCAAGTTTTCATATTGTAATTTTGGGATATTTTATTTTCCAAACAAGGATTTTGATAATAAACTTGATTGGTTAGGGCATTTACTTGTTTTAAAAAAATATAAATTAGTTGCGTTAGGGTAAGAACTTATTTATTATCGACAAATATACTATCTCTGGTCTTTCCTTTAGTCTTTTGAATATAGAATTGAAATGTAGTTTGTATATTTGATATCGTAGTTTGTAAGAGTGTTTGATTTATTTTTCAATTAAGTTGTTATTTAATTATTGTTTTAAATTTGTGGTAAATCCTACTATTGTCAGTACCAAATTAGAGATGGGGGTATTGGAGCGGGTTATCTGCTAGTAGGTCAGGTCCCCAGTACTCCAATGGGGTTGAATAAGAACTCAATACAATTGGTGGATTACAGGATGAGGGCAAATAAAAAGTTGTAAATCTGTGGAACAATGGGAGGCGGATAATCTAACAGATTAGAAGATGAGAGTGGATACAAAGTTATAAATTTGCAAGAGTATGAAACAAGTATGTGTCTAATTTATGAGTACTCTCTTCAATTAAATATTTTGAATATGTATAATTTTTTATGTTTTTATTTAATATAATTATTATATTTGTTAATTTTATTATTTATTTGAATAATTTTTGAATATTAAAATAAAATTATGTGATAATATATATGTAGTTATAGCAGATGATTTTTGATCGGTTTGAATACATTATTTAATTTATATTTTATGTTTATTGTACACTGAAATATTAGTTAAATCATCATTTTATTTGATGTTTTTTTAATTAAGTTTATTTAAAAGTTAAATATATATATATATATATTTTTTAAAAAAGGATGAACCGAGTAAATGAGAGCTGGTTTTCAGGTGCAGGTGAAAGAAGTGGTGAAAAAATAGGTAGGTGGGTTGGAGGGAGTGACTGGTAAAAGTATTTATTTGCAGAATGGATAGTGAAAAAAGAGTTTAGATATGACAAAATTTAATACAAATGTTTAATTTTAATATATTTGTAGTTATTATTGATTAAGGCTCTAAATTATGAGTTTGACTTTACCTAATATATCTGTATACTAAAAGATTTAGATTTATATAATCTATTATATTTATAAAAGTCAATAATAACTACAAATATATTAAAATTAAACATTTGTATTAAATTTTGTAATATATCTGTATACTAAAGATTTAGATTTATATAATCTATTATATTTATAAAAGTCAAACTAAGAATCAAACTTTCATTTTCTAAATTGATTTTATATTTAATATGATCATATGTATAGTAGTTAGTTATTTTAATTTTCTAAATAATAAATATATTTGTTTGGTCCAAATGAGTTGACAATCCAAGAGAAGGAATAAACTTGAGTTTTTTTTTTGGCTAATTTTAACTTTAATTAACAATTAAATTTACGAGTGCTTAATAAATATGACTTGACGTGTATTAAATGATTTAAGATAATAAATAAAAAATATAATTGTGATTAGTAATACGACGATTTACAAATTTTTTAAGTATAATTAACTAATTAAATATATAATGAAGAGCATGCAATAGTTCCGAATGTTATGATATATAATAAATTCAAGAGAACAATTTTCAGTCTGATCCAACCCTGGCCGAAGTGGATCATTATCCGACCCATATTTTTCTCCGGATTCTACAATTGGGTCAGAAGATCTGGCTTTAAATATCAAAAATATATGTACAAAAATTTAAAATTATACTGAATTCTAAAAGTAGGAAATATATAATACAGAAATTAGAAATTAAAATGGAATCAAAACGCAAAGTGAAATTATTTTAATGGTTTTCATTAATGTTTCGCAGTGGGTGTCAACAATTAAAATGTGTTTGTTAGTGGGCATAACAGTGGATGAGAATCTAGGAAGGCTAGTTAAAGAGGTTGAACATATATATATATATATATGTCTGTGTGTGCGCGTGTGTATGTATATATAAGTGGCACTGTTTTGTGGATATGTTGAAGCCGTTGATCTTGTGTTGGCAAAAGATTAAACAAGTTTATGGTTGGGATATTGATTATCATTGCTTGTCTGAAATGAAATGGGATTAATAAAAATTTGTTAATATGCGTAGTTAAATTAGTTCGAAGAATATTACAGATCTTAACTTGTTATGGGTTTTAGTTATTGGTGTGTTAAGAACGGCAAGAGCGGAAAAAGCTTGAGAAAAAGAGCAAACTGATTAGATGAAAGCAGAAGGGCTATTTTTGGAGGAATATGGATATGGGATCGGTTAAAGAAACAGTGTATATGTATATGTATATATGTTTGGTGTATATATTGTGTATATATGTGTATGTGAGGGAGAGAAAAAGGTGTTGTATGCGAAATGGAAAAAGACTTAGAATGCGTGCAGCTTCCACCATTGGTGAATTCATTTGGAATATGGGAAAGGTTGGCGGATCCTGTAAAAGGCAGGAAATTATGGGATTACTCCTTCCCCCTCTTGGAAATATTTATACTTCTTATTTTCTTTTTCTGGCAATTCATTTATTTCATGTTCAAGCATTTGGGAGTCTCCAATTTCACCGCACAGATGACAGTAAGTGCTCCTGTTCTTCGTTTTTTCTTTATATATTTTCAAAAACCCTGAAAGGAAAATTTTGAATGTGATCCAGGCTGGTCTGTTGTTGAGCGTTGCAGTTCTTGACAAGGGCGGGGGGCTTAAAGAAATTCTGTTCCCCAAGGACTACAGAGAAAACGTGATTGGCACAATGGGTACATTTGGGTATACAATGTTCTGGTTTTTAATGGGCGTGAAAATGAATTTAGGGTTAGTAGCAAGAACTGGATGGAAAGCATTGGCAATCGGACTTTGTTCAGTTGCTGCAACATTGGTTGTGTCTTTTGTGTTGTACGGTCACGAATTAAATGTAAAACAAGGTTTCAACTCACCCGCTGGCTTCATAATCTTTTTCCAATGTGTTTCAGCATTTCCAGTTATTGCTTCTCTGATCATAGATCTGAAAATCCAAAACTCTGAACTGGGTCGACTTTGTCTTTCTGCAGTATTTATGAGTGATCTTCTGGGTATTTTTCTTACCTTGTTCCTTCACTTTATTCAAAATGGTATTAACAACCCCGCACACGCATCCATAGATGTTGTAGCTGTTCTCCTCTTTATGATTTTCACTGTATCCGTCTGGCGTCCTGCTATGTATTGGATTATTAAACACACACCAGAAGGAAAGCCTGTTAAGACCATATACATTTATTTCGTTATGGTTGCTGTTTTTGGTTCCGGCGCTTATTGGGCATTTTTTGAACAATATGTTCCTTTTGGTCCTTATTTCTTGGGGTTATTTCTTCCTGCTGGACCTCCTCTTGGCTCTGCATTGATCGATAAGTTTGAGTGTCTTGTCACTGGCGGTTTGTTGCCTTTCTTTGTGGCTTCTTGTGCCATGAATACTAACCTCAGAACTGCTGCTGAGCTGGAAGGATTGAATATCATCCTTGTCACTGTTGCAGCTAAGTTTGTTGTATGTCTTGTTTCTTGTCTGCTTTCCAAGATGCCTTTGAGGGATTCTATTGCTTTCGCCTTTATTGTCAATTATAAAGGCTATATTGAGCTCTCTGCCTATTCTTATGGACTCCAGATAAAGGTCTGTATACATACATATTCATCACTTGACATTCTTTTCTTTTACACACACACACACGCGCGCGCGCACATATATATCTTGATGGGAAGCAAATCAAATCAAACCAACTCATCATGATTCAGTTTCTTGGCAGATTATCAGAGAAGCACATTTTTCCACAATGACCCTTTACATTTTGGTAAGCTCGTACATCTTGCCTATCTTGGTGAAGATGGTGTATGACCCCTCTAGAAAATATGCTGGTTACCAGAAAAGGGATATGACTCACTTGAAAACAAACTCAGAGCTAAGAATCCTCGCCTGCATCCACAGACCTGATAACATAGCCCCCATGATCAACCTCCTTGAAGCTTCATGCCCAACAAAAGACAACCCTGTTGATGTTTATGTTCTTCATCTTATTGAGCTCGTTGGTCAGGCATCTCCTATCTTCATCTCCCACCAAATCCAAAAAAAGAAAGTTGGTACCAAGTCTTACTCAGATAATGTCATCATCTCCTTCAATAATTTCCAGAAAAATTTCTGGGGTTTAGTCAGTGTAAGTACCTTCACTTCAATCTCTTCCCTTGAACACATGCATGAGGATACCTGCACGCTTGCG